ACTAATTACAAAAAAAAAAAAGAAAAGGAAATGTAACACTAACAAACAAGTTTCATGCTGAACATCATTTCCCGGCAACAGAGAACTACTCAATCCAAAAAGGAGATAATGTCTATACCTAGGTCACCATCTTAAATAACTAATTTCAGGTAGAAACAGAAAATTCACATGAGAGAGAAAAACAGTCGTTGATTTCTGGGTGCATTTTTTTTTTCCACCTGTTAACTTGTTTCCAAGACATGGGTTAAGGAATTGAGTGAACACATTTGAAGATTGACATATCTTTTCTGGTTATATATAAAAATTTCTCGATATCCTGATGTTGCAGGTACCAAGAGATCCTTACGGACCCTAGTTATGCAGGCCAATTTGTCTTGATGACAAACCCCCATATTGGCAACACTGGTGTCAATTTTGGTGCGTGCAATGTTTGCTGATATCTCGAGAAACTATTTTTGAAAAAATATCTACTATTTTGAATTGGCACACTTTTGTTGGCAGATGATGAAGAATCAAGACAATGCTTTTTAGCAGGACTAGTAATCAGAAGTTTGAGTATCAGGTTGCTGTCTTATATAACCATGATTCTAACCAATCATGTTTCTATTTTTCCTTCTAACTTTAGCATTTTTATCCTTTGTGTATTTACTGCTTAACGTTCTTCAGTACCTCAAACTGGAGATGCACACAGACGCTTGGGGATTATTTGGCAGAAAGGAACATTATGGGAATATGTAGGTCATTTTTGTGTTTGCTAATTATTTGCCTTGAGCTACACTCATCCTTTCTCTGATTTTCTTCTTATTCTGTTATGTAACAGATGATGTTGACACCCGTGCTATTACCCGTAGATTGAGACAAGATGGTAGCCTTATTGGTGTACTGAGCACCGATGAATCTAAAACTGATGAAGAACTTATAAAAACATCTCGAACTTGGAATATTGTTGGTAATTTTCAATCTACTCTCTACATTGGTTTGAATAGTATTTTAGTGGTTTGTGATTAGATTGCATTTGGGTTTATGACTCAATTTTGCAGGCGTGGATTTAATAAGTGGAGTCTCATGTAAGGCTCCTTATGAATGGGTGGATAGAACAAATTCAGAGTGGGGTTTTAATGTCAATGGAAGAAATGAAGAGTCTTTTCATGTATGTATCTCACATGTTGACTTAATACAAGATGCATTTTTATTATTTGTAGATTGACATCTTGTTTCTTCTTGAATGGAGGTTGTTGCATATGATTTTGGTATCAAGCAAAATATATTGAGGCGCCTAGCATCCTACGGCTGTAAAATCACAGTCGTTCCTTCTACATGGCCTGCCTCTGAGACTCTAAAGATGAAACCTGATGGAGTTCTATTCAGCAATGGTCCTGGAGATCCGTCAGCAGTTCCTTATGCTGTTGAAACTGTCAAGGAAATAATTGGAAAAGTTCCTGTTTTTGGTATTTGCATGGGACATCAGTTGCTTGGTCAAGCATTGGGCGGTAAGACCTTCAAGATGAAGTTTGGTCACCATGGCGGAAATCATCCAGTCCGAAATCTTCGAAATGGCCGTGTTGAGATCAGTGCCCAGGTTTGTTCATTCACCAAATAATTTTAGTCAAAATTTAATATGGCGTTCCATACTTAAGCAGAATTATACTGAATCCTTCAAAGTTCATCCCGTGTTCTTTTATCCAGTGTCTTTTATAATGGTCCTTTAGTTCCATTTTATTTTACAATTCTGATTTATAACCTGTAAGGTAAGAAGTCGTATATCTGGTTTTAGGTGAGCTTATATATATTGCAAAATTGATGGGGGCTAATTGAGTTGTATAAATACGTAGGTTTGTAATCTTGGATGTACTGTTTTACGTTAATCCCCCCCCCCCTCCTCCCTTCTCTCTCTGTGTGGCCTGAACTACACATTCGTGAAGAATTTTGTCATCCATCGGAACTTCACTCAAACCTATTTTATGCAGAATCACAACTATGCTGTTGACCCTGAATCGCTTCCAGAAGGTACAGAAGTCACTCATGTTAATCTCAATGATGGAAGCTGTGCTGGGCTTGCCTTCTCTCAGTTAAAGCTTATGTCACTTCAGTACCATCCAGAAGCATCACCGGGACCTCATGATTCAGATCCTGGTATTTCTCATAGTTATCTCCTTTAAAATAATTATTATATTTATTGAGCTCTATCAATATTGTGCTGCTAATGATCTATTTCTAAGCAATTATTTGAGTCTATTTCTAATAAAAGTATTTTGGGGACAGTATTTGGGGAATTCATGCAACTCATGAAGCTAGAAAAAAAGAAAGCATGATTGAAATTCACAACGTCGTTCAGAAGGTTGAGAGGTGGCAAATGATGACTCGTTGGCTGAGATGATGATCAAGAAAAAGTTGAATACTCTATGCTGAAAGTCAGAGACCAGTCGGGAATATTGTAGTTGTGATTTTCTTTATCTTACCGTCCTAGTCTTTTGATTTGCTTGATGTGGTCCTAGCTAAACAAATGTAGGGGAAAAAAGTTGGTTGAATTGCCTTTGGTGATTGGTCCCGGTGAAATTTCCAAACTTTTGTTCATCCTTTGTAATATTCTAAAATGCTAGGATTTATTTATATACACCACTAGCCCTTTGCTTTTACAATGTTTAATTATTTTAGCATTTCAAGTGAACATGATACTATAATACACGAAAATGAGTGCTCGTGCTCACTTGGGTCTGGGAGATCTTGAAGTTCCAATAAGCTAAGCCGGATTGTTGAATTCCTGGGCATGTGGAAAGCTCCTGGAACAGAGGATATTTCTAGGTTTCAATCCCTGAAATGAAATGGGTGTGAGATTCCAGTTGCAGAGATTGGTATACTAGCAACAATTATAGAACACCTCAAGAGTTTCCAGTACCTCCTGTCACGAGGAAGAATGCTAGTCACCGACATATCCACAAGAACAACACGACGCGCTATTAACTTATGAAAGCCTGTATTGCTGTAAAAAGTCATTTAATTCGTTGCTAGGAGATGTGCTATAACTACTGTAGTAAACCCGAGGATGAAAAAATCGCGAAGGAGTTCAATTGTATCATCCAAATCTTCATATGTTTGACTTAAATGTAAAGTTTGAGAATTTTGGGACCAAGTTGAGATTTTGAGAATTAAGATTGAATTAATTGGACAACGAATATGTGGTTTATAGGTTATAATATGAATTATTCAAGTTTCAAAAAGCAATTCGAAACTTACGTCGTATTCGGTCGTGCTTGAAATCCAATTAAAATTGAAAATATAGTCGTTATTGGGTATCAATCGTCTAATAAAAGTCAATAATAACGGCTAATTTTTCAATTTTAATTCGATTTTAATCTCTAACGAACACGCCCTTAATTGCAGTATTTGAAAAGATAAGGGACCAAATTGTACATTAGAAAAATTTATGTACATGATTTTCAGACTTTGATGTATAAATTTGAGGACGATTTGTGGTTGTGAGGTTCAAATATTATCTATTGTAACATAAAGTTCCATTTTTCAAAATAAATAAATAAATCTTTGAACTCCGTTTTCTTATTTGTATCAATTTTTAATTAATTTCATAATTGTCTTGCCTTGATAGCACATCCATTTATTGGTATTTATTTTGATTGTGCCTTCAATTAAAAGCAAGTCTCGTGCTTTTCCTTCCCCAATCTTCAAGCAAAATTGCAATTCCAATATGGCTTTTTGCAAATTCTCCTATCTTGGTGTGGAAATGAAAGAGATGTAGCCCTCATCTGGTCAAATCGAATTAGGTCATGAAAGTAACACGATTTAATTTTTTTTATTTTTCTATTTATACAGGGAAATGATGTTTTCTTGATTATTGGTATTGATTTTCTCTATCGAGTCATCTGTTTTATCTTTGCTCATTTTCTTTTCTTCCGTTCTACATTCTTCTTCTATAACCAAATGAGGAAAATAAAAAATATTTTTTGTTGAACGTGTTTAACAAGAAGAACACTTGGAAAAGACTTGATCATATAACACTAGGTCGTTTAGAAATTTTATGGGAAAAAATAAACGATCTATTTCAACTTCAAAAAGATTATATGTGTGAAGTGTGAACTATAAGATCCTCTATTCTCGCAATCTAACAATAAATTAGTTAAAATTCAACATTTCATTATGCAATCTTACCAACCTTTAGACTTCTCGCAAGTGGCGGAGGATAGTGGAGTCCCAGGCCCCCACTTAAACTTGAAAAGCAAAAAAAAAAAAAACCTATGATTTTTTTTAAAAATATATTATTATATTTTGTGTTTGATTTTATTTTATTTTGAACACTGATTATGAATACTAACTCCATCATTGTTTCTCATCGTACAACTTTACCAACTTAAGAGCATGTCCAATAGTAGTTTAAAGTTGAGTGTAAACTGATATTTTCAAAATCACTTTGCATCCTCATTTTTGCTCCAATAGAAAGATTTAAATCTACTTTTTTCCTCGTGGATGTAAAACAAATATAAATTTACACTTTTTTTTTTGCATTTCCTATCGAAAAATGCAATTTGCATTTCCTTAACCTCTCTCCATTGGAAAGGGTTTCGATCATTTTGAAGTTCTAAACATCATTTTATATCTATTTTACACCATGATAAGAGATTCTCTAAGACTAGACAAGCAAGATTCTCAATATCCCTAAATCCAAAACTAGAATTTACCACACTCTATAATCAGATCTTTTGTCTGTTAAGGGTAGCCCGTGAATGAACATTGCTCCATTCACAAGTTGTACCACCTCAACTTCATAAAAAGACACTGCTCCAAAAACATCGTCACATGTTGCATCGTACATCAAAGCTGTCCATCAGATTTTTAAATCAAATATGTACACAACGTTTTTCTGAACCATGTTGCTTTATTAATATTCTACACGCATTTAGCGCGTGAACTTGAACCAAGCAAAAGGAAGACATTTGACAATTTTATAAGCATGCTCAATTTAATGTACTAAAACACTCAAGCCAGCATTTGATATAGCCGATGCAAATTCTTATAAAACAAATATTAACAATACTGTTCCCAAGAAGAACTTCGAAAATATGAAATACACAGGAAAGGAGAAAGAAACATTACAATCACAACTCTCAAACTGCAAATATGACCTATTAATGTGACACGTCTAAAGCACAACGCACCAAGAAAGAAAAGGTCATTGCATTCTTGTCAATCATAAATTAACAAGAACATGAACCCCATGAGTTGAAAATTGACCATATATCTGAATCAAATTATACCATCTTCCCGCAACCCCACTTCAAAACTTCTTGACATCAACTTGACCAAATTCGCTTGAAACATAACAAGAAAAGCCAACTAAAGAGGTAAAAAGTGAACTTCCCCTGAAGGCAGATAATAGCACCTTAGAAGCACTTTCTGTGGACAATAGATGGACCAGACTCATCATATTCACCCTTTGAAATCCACATCTGTATCACAAAGAAAGCATATCAATTATAACTCAATATTTCTTGAGTAAATTTTAAAATCTTCAGGAAAACTACAGTTTATTTAACTGGATTGACGTTAAATTTTACGGGAACAAGTTTTTTACCTGTTGGAAAGTGCTGAGAGATGCGAGAATCGATCCTCCAATCCAGACACTGTATTTTCTCTCTGGTGGGGCAACGACCTTGATCTTCATGCTGCTGGGAGCCAAGGCAGTGATTTCCTTGCTCATACGATCAGCAATCCCAGGGAACATAGTTGAACCACCACTGAGGACGATATTACCATATAGATCCTTTCTGATATCAACATCACACTTCATTATTGAGTTGTAGGTAGTCTCGTGGATTCCTGCAGATTCCATTCCAATCAAAGAAGGCTGGAACAGGACTTCTGGACAACGGAATCTCTCGGCCCCAATAGTAATAACCTGTCCATCTGGCAATTCATAGTTCTTCTCAACAGACGAGCTGCTCTTGGCAGTCTCAAGATCCTGTTCATAGTCGAGAGCAACATAAGCAAGCTTCTCCTTCATGTCACGTACAATTTCCCGTTCAGCTGAGGTGGTAAACATGTAACCTCTTTCAGTGAGGATCTTCATGAGGTAATCTGTAAGATCACGACCAGCAAGGTCCAGACGAAGGATGGCATGGGGAAGAGCATACCCCTCATAAATGGGCACAGTGTGGCTCACACCGTCACCCGAATCCAGCACAATACCTTTTCAACAATAAAATTGATAGGCATCATATAAAACTATTTAAACACGTTTAAGGAACAAAAATTCAGATTCTAAGAACTGCTACGCACCAGTTGTACGACCACTAGCATAAAGAGAAAGAACGGCCTGAATAGCAACATACATTGCAGGAACATTGAAGGTCTCAAACATAATCTGGGTCATCTTCTCTCTGTTTGCCTTGGGGTTGAGTGGTGCCTCAGTAAGAAGCACAGGATGCTCCTCAGGAGCAACACGCAGCTCGTTGTAGAAAGTGTGATGCCAAATTTTCTCCATGTCATCCCAGTTGCTGACTATACCGTGCTCAATGGGATATTTCAAGGTCAAGATACCTCTCTTAGACTGAGCTTCATCACCCACATAAGCATCTTTCTGTCCCATCCCAACCATCACACCAGTGTGCCGGGGCCTACCCACAATACTTGGGAAAACAGCCCTGGGAGCATCATCACCAGCAAATCCTGCCTGTATATAAATATAACTATCACTTTTACATAACCAAAGATAATGTATAGAGAAGAGGATTAAAAAATTTTGAAAACATCAACTAACCTTCACCATGCCAGTTCCATTGTCGCAAACAAGTGGCTGAATATCCTCTGCATCAGCCATTTTCTATAAACTGGAAAAACCAACACCTCGTCAGTACATAGTTTGACGTTGATTAAAGAAGAATCGCGGAGATCCATATTTAATCTAATATGAAACAAATGAGACATGTTGTAATACAGCACTTATTCAGCTTCCCAAAAGAAAAAGAAAAGGCAGATAACAATTACTTGAGAAATGTAATTGAATTGCATACTATCGTTCCAAGGCTGCATACGATTGTTGCAAAGCCACAGCACAAACATGTATACACGATTCAAAGGACACATGCCAGTGTATTTCAATCACTATATAATCACACAAAATATACCACTTTGAAAATTTAATTCACATTTGAAGCCTTAGCCACTTTTTAAAGTCAATCAAAATTCCGTAAAAAAAGCATTCTACATTTCAATCTTTTCTTTTGAAGAAACAGTAGACGCCAAAACAGGATTGTCGTTACAAAATATCAAGCAATTGAATTCAGACCAAATTAACACGAAACTCTCGTTCCACAAAGAAAGGCCTGGAATTTCAGCGCAATCAACACTAGCCCAAAGTAACGGATCAATTGTCATCGCCGTGATTAGATATGCAATAATACATACAGACAGGCTAAATTCAAACGAAGTAGATAAGTGACAACAGGAAAGAGCAGATCTGTAAAGACGCAGGATAGATCGAGCAAATTATTATTCTAAAAAAACAGATCGGACTTAAAAGAATCAGTGACAACGGGATTACGAAATCTAACCCTTCCATTAACCTACTACTTAAAAAGACGTTAAATAATGGATCGATAACGCATCGAATTTCAGATCTCATCATATGCTCCGGAATAATCAATACGAGCACAAAATCTTTCTATAACCAAAAATAAAAAAATAATAATAACAAAAAAGCTTAGTAAATAATTACAGCAACGACAATGATAATTTGCCTTGAGCTGGAGAGAAATTCTATCTAGAGAGCAAAAAATTCGAGACGAAATGCAAATCCAACCTTCGACGATACGAATGATTGGCTACCTTCTTTTGATTTTTTGTTCCCTTCCCTTTTAAGTGAGAGGCCGCCTCGCTCGGAACGCCGAAGGTGGAAATGGAGAAATCTAATGACGCATAAATGAGAGAGAGTGTATTTATGGACACTCTTTTGGGTGATGAGGTTTGAATTATTTTTTATTTATTTCTTTTTGGGTGAACAGAAATCACTTTGAATTTAAAAATAGGGCGTGGTACGTGATTATTGTATTGAATGAGGCCAGCAAGAAGTCTAGCTGTTATCCTATTATCAAATGACATTTACGACCTTTTCTTATAAAAATATTCCCTTAATAGAAGGAATTCATGCTGAATATATGCAAATTTTACCAAATTTTGGTATATACTAGGGCTGTTCATGGGTCGGTTCGATTCGGTTCTGAAGATACCCGAATCGACCCAAAACTTTCTGGTTATTAATAAATGGACCTGTCGGGTCCAAATTTAATT